GCTCTCCTGTTCTTAATTTTGGTTGAAACCATGCATACCCCTTTGAAGTATTTGCTCTAGTAATACACACCTTATCCCTCTCTGTGCCAACCATATGAACCTATTTACATTGTAAGATTCAGCCAGAGGCCAGGAAAGAGATATGTACAGTAATTCCAAACACAGTCTATAAGGAAGTGCCTCAAAGATTTTCATAAAAGTCAATGACACCTATCAAATGGCATTAGAAACATGTAAGCAGGCATGGCCATGATTACCTCAAACTGACATGATAGTACCTGTCTCAAAGAAATTGCACTTTATTGAATTGTCTTTAAACATTTATATAAAGTAACAAAGTCAGCAAAGTAGTTTAAACTTCCACCAAAACAGATGTCAAAGAGTGACTATGCTTTGAAATATAAATGAAGTCAAGGGTCTTCTGTTGCTTTTGAGTAAGACAAGCTGACTGAAAAGCAAAACAATTTAAATGAAAAACATTGTTTTTCTGTTGTGGCACTTTTAGCCATAACTATCTATCTGTCTGTCTGTCTGTCTGCCTGCCTATCTAATAAAAGTAATCTGTGCTCTTAAAGGTAAAGAGACAAGACCGAAAATGCACTCCAAAGCCAGCCTTTAGTACTTTGGAATAACGGGAGATATCATTTTCCATCCCTGGATCCCTCTTCAGTACCAGATACTGCATAAGGAATATAAGGAATATATAAGGGATTATAAGGAATTACATAAATTTCAGCAAAACTCACTGAGTACCATCAATGCATGTTATAGGTATGATGCTAAATATTTTGGAGATTACTTCAGCTATCTAGTTATGAAGAATGACAGTCTGGTGGATGTCATAAATCTACAGTAAATCATAAATCTGACATAAATTATCATAGTGGAAGGGGAACTGAGATAAAGCCGTACACATTCAGCGGTAACAGCTTTGGATCACCACAGAACATATGCGTGTGCTTGACTTTAAGTACTGAAACCATCTACATTCTTCAAGGGAAATATGTGCTTGGAGGACTTTTTGCTTATATCACCAAACCTTTGGAAAAACTGTGTTTTTCAGAATTTTCCAGGACTGAATTTTCCGGTAGGTTTTTTTTTCCACATTATACAATATTGACAGCATTTGTCACTCTGTCACTGTCAACAACTGATTGGGCATAGATCCCTGGATACTCACACTGCAGCACTTCTCTATCGTGATCTCAGTCTGTGTACGAGCATGTGTTGAACACATTAAAATGAATCATCAAAAGGCACCAGGTGCATGGAGTGAACAGAGCCATATAAAAAAGCAAGAAAGTCGTAAGTGCTATCATGCCCTGTTTTCCATGAAATAAACAAGGAAATACTGCGCCATTCCATATTTATTATGGTTAAGGGTTCAATAGCTCCCACAGTAATCCAGACCATCCCTAGGCCAAAGAGTTTCATGTACTAAGACAGGAGAGATGATGGAACTAACTTAGAAAGCGCTAAATATCCCTTGAATAGTTTTGCTCTGGGCTATGTCCATACACACTTTTTAACCCATTCTCAAACTCCAGAATTATTTAATAGTGTTTCTGCTTACAATACAATGTCTCCAATTAGAATAACATTTTTTTTCTGGAGCTTGACCCCTGGTGTTTTGGGATATTTGGCTTCCAACAGGTTTTGGCCGTTACCCAAATTCTGGCATTCCTAAACGCCCATATGGACATAGAAGTTGCCAGACTGCAAATTCCAACTAGGACCATCTCCTGCTCCTGCTCTGCACACATCGCTGGGCCACAGAGAGATGTGCAAGTTTCTTGAGTCCTTCTCTGGGTCTCCAACCCTGACCATTCAGCCTCAGCTTTGGATTCAATCTGGGCAGTGGTTGTGGTGAGTGGGGGCTCTGTGGATTCTCTGCAGCTCTGGCCAGATCTCTGTCCTTTCACAGATGCCCTCTCTCAGGTACCTTACCTGCTCTAATGCTGATGTCCCATGGAGAAGCAAACCAAATTCAGAAGCCAAGCTCATGGGAAAAAACTGCTCCAGCAGGCTCTGTGCTAACCTTGCCCCCACATGACAGGGACATAGTTCCACTCGTTATGCCACAAGCTCTGGAAGTAGTTTTCCAGGCTTTCTTAATAGTTTTCTGTTTACTACCTCTAGTGTTACTAAGATGCCTCAAATGCCTAATCAAAGTAAAAACTAGAAATGCAACATTAATTACTTTCTGAACTTCTTCTCCAAGTGTAAATAGTAAAGAGCCTGGCAGTGACCAGCAGTTTGACATTACATTTGCATTACACTGATACGAATATCAGTAAGCAAGGAAAATGGGCGTTTGTCACTAACAAAAACGTTCTAGTATTAATGCTGGAAGGTTAGGATATATCCTGTTCACTTTGCTGGGGCCATAGTGAAATTTACTGTATCTGCATACTGAACAGTTATTCTGAGAATTCTGTTGAAAAAAATACTGTTCCTTAGTACGATTACCACGAATTATTACTGTTAATGCAATATGTTATCATTGTCAGCTGATATCATGGGCCTACCATCCAAGCTCAGAACATCAATACCAAAATTCAGAAGTCACCAGTACACTCCTGGAAATTCCCTCTAATTCCCCAGACTCAGCCCTTTGTACACATACCACAGAGGAGCTGCGTTGCTTATCTCCAACCTGACATCAACTGGATGCTCTGTAAACTTTGCTGGCGAGATGGGCAACAAATACCAACCGGACCATTCAGGTGTCAGTCATTCCTAACAGGAGCTTTTTTGGAGGGTCCTGCCTACATCATTCCTCCCTTTCTTTCCACTTGATGCTGCCAGATGTTCCTGAAACATTGTCATTATAGTTCATTTGCTGGGAAATGCTTTAAAAACGTGTTTTCTTTTCTAAACAATAAAAGTGAAGCAAGTTGTGCTCTCACAAAATGTTAACGCAAAAGCAGCAGCTCATGTGAAGATACCTGGAAGGAGAAAATTTAGAAATCTCGCCTTTCTGTTGGCAGGCAGCTGCTAAGATCCCAGCCCTGGGGCGGGAAGGGCAGGGATCATTGCCCCACTGCTGTGATAGCAGAGTCAGCTGCTTGCCAGTCTGCCAAGCTCCATGCACCTCACGCAGCTGAGGGATTTGGCAGCCCTACCTTGTCTATCTGCACCTCCAGCGCAATATTGAGAGCCTTAACCAATAGCCTTAGGGATAAGGCGCTGAGCTGAAAATATAAGGCTTGGGCTTTACCGCTTCAAAGGGCTGACAATAATCCTGTGTGCATCACTAACCATATTTTTCACACTTTGATTTTTTTATACCTCTGCTGGCAGACAGTTACTGTTCTGACCCTTCCCCTTTGCCATGAGTTGCACAAGATCACCCCACCCAGCACAGGGAGCCGGTCCCAAGAGCAACAGATCCAGACCTTGGCCCCATTGCTTCTCAGAAGGAACCAGCCAAATTTAGAGCTCTGCTCATTCTGTGCACGTCAACAGGCAGGAGTTGAACTGCGACATCTGGGTATGGACACAATCGTGTTGCAAACAGCCCTGCAAACTAGCAGGGTGCGTTGGGTCCAACACCTGAAAGTGGGAGGATGCCAAGGAAAAAAGCCTTCTTATGCTGTCATCTGTAGTGTTGTATTTTGTGTTGGGCATCTTCAGATCTGGGGTTTGAGGGGAAAATATTTGTAATCTGACACTGAAAGACGATTAATAATAATAGACTGCAATTGTAATGGACCACTGTTGCATGGCAGCCTTTCCCCAAGTCTGAATCCTTTTTTTTAAAAGCTTCAGTGAGTCTGCAATCATAAAAATTAGCTCATTAAAAAATGGCTTAAAAATCAGATGTGGAACTGCACAAACCTGTGGCTGCAAGACCCCTTTCTCTGCATGACCCCATCAGTTAGCAGGCAGGGCTGAAGCAAGCTTGTTACAGCCCAATATTAAATGAACAAAGAGACAGAGTCTGGTTGCACTATGGTGCACTTTGGAAAGGGAGAATGTGAAAAAGAAATATTCTTTGGCAAATTTCATTTAAACGGTCTTCAATGGAAATGTAAAGAATTCATTGCATGTCAGTAGCAGAAATATGAGTGCTGTATTCAGTCGTACACCTCTCATTATATTTCTATTTCTAACACTTCATTGTTTCTTAGACAAAGCATTAGCATTTCTTTCATTTCTGTAATAATAAAATATGATATTTATTACTAAGAGGTAGAGACTAGAGACAGAAGGTGGGGAGCTTTCATCGAGGGGGACAAGACAAGTGCTCTGTAAGAGCATTACTTAATGTGGAGCCATGACTCACATGCAATGTCATTTTAACAGCTTTCTGTGTTTAATTTCCTTTTCTTTAACCAGTAGCCTAACAAAGCGGCGCTCAGACTGCGGTCTATGGACCACCAGTGGTTTGTGGGGCTCTCCCAGGTGGTCTGCAGAATTAAACATTTTGGGAGCTATGCCATACCCGACAGATCTTGAGGAAGGGAACCAAGTGCTCCAGAAGGCGATTCTTTTTCTTTTTGTGAGAATGGTCTCCAGAGAAATAAAACCCGGGAAGCCATTAGGTTGGGGAGCCCTTTTAGATTAATTTTTTTGGGGAAAAAATGCTAACGGTTGGGTTTTGGACATTGTTCTACATTTTCAGTGTCTATTGCAGTCAGAAGTCTTTAAGCCTTTGCAAGGGAAGTCAGAACAGCCGCAGACGATGCAGTGCAACACAGCTGAAGAGCTGCAGAGGGGGCTGGAAGCCATGCAAGTTTTATCTGCCTGACACTTTGGGGAGATTTCAGGCAGTCGGATCTCATTACTTAGGCCAGATTTAATCTTGGCTTTGTGCCTCCCAGCTCCTGTGAGGTCCTGACATCCTCGAGGGAGAGCTTTCCTGGGTTTCTTCTTCCATGCTTCTCCAGAGGATGTTTGGCAGGTGGGGGGTTGCAGGCAATGGAGCACATCGACCTAGTCATGTCCAAGCCCAATGTATCTCCCACAGAGAGACTGCATGGTGTCATGTCTCGAAGATGGACACGCTGCTAGCAGTGCCCATGCGGGGCTCAGCAGCCACGACATTGACTCTGGGAAAGAAAGAGAACACTTGCTGTTCTGCTTGCGACCTGGTGGGTGACTTGAACTTCCATCACATGTGTGGATCCATCTAGCACCTGGCAGCAGCATTTTGGGGCAAACTCAAAGGAAAGGGTGCCACCTACTGAACTGCCAACACGCACTTCCAGCAGCACCCAGCTTCTCCTTGGAGATCCTCTCTGGTACGCGCTGACCTAGCCTAACCCTGCCACAGCTTATGAGATCCAGTGAGCTCATTGCCTAAGGGGGCATGGCTGCAGGCCAGATGGGAGAAATGTAATACTTAAATAATGCGTGTGCTTCAGTGTTCAAAAATGCAACAGTTTGGAGGGGTAAAGAGGATGGGGGGAAACTGGAAAGCTGCTTGTACATCCAAAATTAGACCTTCCACCAGAAGCAAGAAAGAAGACAATATAACTAGTTTACAGAGAAAGAATACTTCCAGTAAGGTTCATTTAGCCTATTTCTAGCAATGAAGTCTGTCCTGGGAAATTTCCATTGCATTATGATGGGCTTAATTAGAATTGTTATAATCAAATAAGTGCATTTGGCAGAGGAGACTGGACAAGGAGAATGCTGCCATTGCAGGGTTAGCTGCATGCCTGTCTTTTGCTCATCTTGTCCAATGGCACCTGCTCAGATATTGGGCTTTACTTTTCCTCAGGTGCAATTCCACTGTTTTCCCAAGCTCAGAATCAATTTTGGGATGCTTAGTTCTGAGCATTAGGCCCAAATTCCCAACAAGTCCAAGTAGATCTGGGGCATGCAGGTCTTCTACAGACTTATTTGAAAAAAAATTAAAATACAGAAACATGTTCTGGTTAAATTATTGGGTCACGGAGCGTTCTGTACAGTCTAAACCTTTTACTGTCCCTAAACATGATTGACTTCCATGGCAACAGTTTGGAGCCTAATGACTTCAGTGAGATTAAATTTAAGCCTCACGTAGTGATGTCAGGTCTCACAATATTCCTTGGAATCTCCGAAGTGCCCAAAATTACTAGATTAGAGTCCAGTGTGACCCCCTCTTGCATCCTCACTCATCCTTCCTCTGTTGCCTCAGAGATATTTGGGGAATGCTGGAGACCAGAGGCAAGATGAAATGAGAGCTGCAGGAGGCTGCCATAAAGAGGCTCAGTCTTTTTGAAAGGAACCTTTCCTACAACTTTTATGTTATTCTATTTTGGCCTTTTATGTTATAATTTTTGGGGTTTGACAGGAAGACTAAGGTTTCTTTCTCCTCTTATTTAGGGTTTAACTCTGCAAATGTCTTTAGTAGCCATAGGTTCTATCTATATTACTGGTATGTCTTGCCTGAAAACATTCACTGAAATAATAATTCTATTTTCACAAAGCAGATTTTTTAGTAACATTGAATCAATTCTTCAGAACACCTTTTTTTTTTTTCCTTCAGAGTGACTAAAAAATTGCTCTATGTGAGAAATAAAAAGACCTCAAGAGCAAGAACTAAGGGCCAACACCAGAACAAAATTTTCAAATGTGTCAAAGCAAACAGTTATAAAAAAACCCTCCCAAAAATCAAATGGTAATTTTGATGTTTTTCCTGATTTGGCACCAAGAAATTTCAAAACTCCTCCCCCCCCTCATCCCCAATGGAAAGAAGAATTAATTTTCCTGTGTAGTCTTTCAGTCAGGGTTGAGGATGCTGAACATCTCACAAGATCATGTTCTGCAACAACTCCACTGCAAGTCAAAGGAATGATACTAGAGTGAAATTGGGCTAAAAAAAAAAGAGAATCAAGCATGTAATATACCCTGGGGACTCAGAAAGTTCATTTTCTTTCCATATTCTTACATTACTCGCACCAGTGCCGATGCCATGAATGTCTTCAGAATTTCAACTGTTAACAGTAAGCCATTTTAATACAGAGATCACCTTAAAAAGGCTGTAAAACCAGGTGAAATCAAATGCATGCTGCATTACAATCAGGACACTAGAAGACAACTAACCAAGGAAACCTAGGAATATTTCACATTTGGATTCTGGGCTGAAAATTAATATTTTTTGCCAGATTTCAAACAATTTTATTGTAGCTACTAAAACAATACACCACTAAGCCACCAAAATGATATTTTTGGAGTGAAATGAACTTCCAGTAAAATCTGATACTTCCAAAGCACTGTTTGCAATCACTTGAGAGAAAAATTTTTTTGCCTCTTTTTTTTAATCTTCTTGTGAAGTGAGAGGAATGTGCAAACCAGTATGGGCTAGTAAAGCATATGACACAAAGTTTGGCTCTACTGAAGTCATAATTGGATGAGACTATGATCCACCCACAGAAATAACACAAATCCTTTAACAAGAGACTTAAGAATAGTTAACTAAAGCCAACATAGCAACAAACTTCCCCTGAAAACACACCTTATCTCAGGAAATGAAAACTATTGACTGCCTAAATTTCAATTAACTTTGTCACGCTTTTCAGAACCCCAGCAGTTGCAAGCTTGATTCACGTTATGATGACAGATAATTGCTTTTACAGGTCTGGCTTGGTGGAACTGTGGAAAAAGGTTTGCCAGACTGTGTTACACGAGTGAAAAACATTAAATAGACAGCTAACATGTCTCATCTCTTCCTCCACCTCTTCTCTCCTTTTTTTCCCCTATCTTTTCTAACCTCTCATAGAGGTTTATGTGTTTGCATCTGTGTGTGTCTGTGTCAGTAAAAGCCCAAACATTAGATCACAAGTTCTTGTTTATATAAGCTTCAATTTACCCTTCAGGCAGAAACTTAGAGATTTCCAAACACACAGATGCTTGCCACTATCCAAATTCAATTTGAAATGCTCTGCACAACATCTCCTTTAACTTAACTAACCTTGTATTGTTCAAATACTTCATAATGTGTTTTGGTTGCCAAACATCATTACTAACTTTGCCATCGTTAACAAAGCTAATTGAAACACAAATAAATGGAATTCCATAAAATGCCAAATCTTCTGAAAAAAAATGGTATTCATTTATTAAACACACAAATCTGATTTTACAAATACTTACTATGCAAAGTTATTATGGAAAAGCTATCACAAAACCAAAAGAGGATGTTGTTACCTGCTATGACCTAGACCCTGAAAGAGACCCTACAGGAATCTGTAGGAATGGACCATCATCTGCCAGGAGTCTCAGGACTGTATTCACATACAGCAAAACCTAAGGAAGGGAGGCAGAAAACCCAGGAAACAAAGCATGGTTTACTTAGGGAATTGCCAAAGAATGCTCCCCTCCAGGGAAGATTTGGAAGTCTGTGGATGACAGAGGGAGAAGAGCCGAACCTAGCACGCTCTGAGGAGTGTGAAGTCTTCAGACCATGACACTCTGCAGCTTCTTTCCATGGGTACACTGTGGAGGCAGCCGTTCTGCACTCTAGAAATAACTGAAATAGGAGATATTCAGGAAAAGAGAATCAGCGTTGCTAACTTCCAAAAAAGCTCATGCTGCAAATAACACAGAGGAGTCTTCAAGATCTCACCCTTTACGAATTCATTTCAAGAGAATACACAAAGCAAATGTAACTTAGTTACAGACAAGGGAAGCAGAAAGTTTGTCATTAATCTCCACTTTGCCCCCACGTAGCAGGAAACTAACACTGCTTTTAACTGCCCGTTTTTTTACTTTTCCCCTTATGGACAAAACATGGTTTAGAAAGTGGCTGCATACAATCCTCCCGAAAATCATTAAAATCTGAACCTGTAGCAATGCTAGATCTGCTAGACTACGTGCTGAATAAGGAAGCAATATTCCACATGGAGGTTGTTCTGCAGGATGTCCTCTCCTGCTCCTGTTTCTCCCTGATCCTCCTTCACCTCCTGGAAAAGGGATGTGGGTCCCCAGCCTGCAATTTCCATCCTATGGACTGGACATGCACAAACTCAAGCTGACCCAATTTTACTGTTGTTAATTTTCCTTTAATGACCTAGCTGCTGCAGAATAAATCTGTGGCAAAGCATTTACCCTGTTACCGTGGATGATGACACAGTATTAACTCTGCAACATCCTCTATAAGAGATGATGTTGTTTACGTCTCAATGAAAGACTGACAGGATGCCGTGGGTAGACTGGAAGATACAGTAGGTAATAGTGCATGCATGGGATGCACCCGCAAACAACTGAAACGCTGGAAGTTCACTTCCTAATTTACCCAATAGTAACTTGCTCGTCTACCTATATGTGTTTGATGTATATTGAAAATATGTTGTTCTATGCCCACAGGATATCCATATATTGTCCCTTTCTGGCACAACATAAATCTATTGCAGAAATTGTTGCATAGCTTGAAAAATGTAAGCACAGTGCGTTCTCCAAGATTCATAGCAACATGTGTCTGTGTATCTTGTTCAGAACTGTGCCTGAAACACGTTAATGTGCATGTACAAGTTACAGCACGTAAAGGGGGTTTTGGTTTAGGCACATTTTACCACTGGATTTATATGGGCATGAGGTAACACCTACTTTTTTTTTTTCTTCAAAGAGCTAATCCACATGCATAATTGAAACAAGTCCTTATCCTGCTCACTATAAATATGTACCAGATGTATCTCTTATAAATGTTACGTTTTGTAGTGTGGTGGGATTTGCTAGTACCTGTAAGTTATGTCAACCTTGATCCAAAGGGAAATAAAAATGAAGAGCATTGCGTTGTAGGATATAGTGTGTCCTAGACATGGTCACAGGCAAGTCTGTAAGTACAGTAAACAGCTACATTATCACCCTATTGATTTACTCTGTGTAACATGATGGCTTGATTGCTGTAAACGGGAATCATGCCACTAAAATAACAAACAAAATTGATTGTACTGAAGCACACACATTGTAATTTCCACTGGCTTTTAGGCTTGCTGTGGTATACACTCACAGATCATGGGGTTATGATTAGCTGTTCTTCATGGTCTAACAAGAGAATAAAGACATGAAAATGTTGTGAATGCACTGCATTGCATCCTTAAGAATTAACTTTAAGTATTGGCTGCTCACAGATTGAAGGCATTTTAAAAGGACTAATTATGTGACAGTG